TATATATATATATATATATATAAAAAAACTAATTGATAACACTGGAAAATTAATTTTTACTCTGAAGTTATTTTTAGAGAAATATATTTTCAATAATACCGTAAGGAAAAAAACAAAAAAAACAAGTAATAAAATCACATTTTACTGAAGAATTACAATACTAATATTTACATATTATTGATTAACTTCCAACCCATGTATAACAAAATGCAAAAATAAAAGCAATGATAAATAATGATAATGAAAAATTATTAATATACCTAAAAATATGTTTGGTTTTCTTGACACAAAATCGCTCCAGTTACCAAAGAAATCTTGGTTCCCTGAGATAACGGGAACAAGCATTGCATTGAATCAAGCTTTGTGGGGGTGGGGGGTGGACTCCATTCTCCTCTGAATATTAAATACTGCAAGTTAGTAAGTTGGCATCCTGAATGGCCGCTTCTTTAAGTGTGAGATCGAGGATAGGCCTGAGCCCACCATCTTTCTTTGGTGGATAGAAATAACTGCTGTAAAAGCCTAACTCGCTGTTCTCTGGCGGGACACTTTTGATGGCTCCCTTCACCAAGAGACACTGCACTTCGGAGCGGAGAACATGAGCATTGTCGTCCTGAACCAAGGAAGGCAAATGCGATACTTCTTCGAAGGAGGTCAGGCATCAGCTGGAATTAGCCCTCTTCTCTCTTGACAGATCAAGACGGCTTCTGTGGCTCAGGGTACAATGTTGCTTTGGGGCGGGGGCGGGGGGGTGGGGGGGGGCCCTGGCACTTGGTTAAGGGGTAGTGCTTGGTAGGCTAAGGGCCAGGTCAGTTGCACTGCACAGCTCCCTAAAAGTCACTGGATCTGGGCCGGACTCGTCCATGGCTTGGAGAAGCTTGGCCTGGAAAACTTGGAGGACCACCATAGTGTGAAGTAGAGACCTGCACTCCCACGGGACCCAACGCAACAGTGCGGCGCGGGACGACACTTGATGGGCAAGTGCGTGTGGGATGCGAAAGAATAAAATGATTTGCGAGACTTATATAAATTGCTATTTATCTATTGCACAAAAGCAACAAGAACAACTAATATAACAAAAATGCTTAACACGCGGAAGCATATAGAGTTTCTATTTATAACACGTGTTTAAAGCATTAAGCAATGTAGTCAATCACAGACATATCTGTTGAGGGGCAGTCGTGACTTAATGGTTAGAGAGTCAGACTTGTAACCCAAAGGTCGCAGGTTCGAGTCTCAGGTCCGGCAGGAATTGTAGGTGGGGGGAGTGAATAACGAGAGCTCTCTTCCACCCTCAATACCACGACTGAGATGAGATGCTGAAAGTTGTAGACATTATGAAAGATCCATTAAGCATATATTCGTTGTGTTATAACAGAGCTTTTCTTGAGATCGCGATGAACTGTCAGCTTTTTAGTGATAATAAAGGGAGCGCTGTTTGCTCGCATTCTACAATGCCAAACCATGCACGCAGCAGCCCATTCTTGCTTTTCTGCTAAAACTAACAGAGGTTTGTGCATGTTGATGCTTAGCCTAAATAACAAATATTTTATCGAGAGCGTTTATGCATGGATGTTGTGGAGCTTACGAGATGTATGAACTATTTTGTGTACCTTTAATCAAAGTACTGAAAAAATATATATAGGTTATTTTACGCTGGCTTTTGCGGGACAAAACATGAATGTTGCGGTCGGGAGCGGGACAAGATAAAATATTTTGGTGGGAGCAGGCGGGATAGAATCCTACAGGAGCGTGCGGGAGCAGGACTGAAAAATCTTTCCGCACGGGAAAGTTCCCACTAGTGTGAAGCGCTGAGCCTTCAAGAGGATTGAGCTTCTCGTAGCCTCTATGCTCAGCACAATTAACAGAGGTGACGGTGGCAGAGGCAGAAGAGTGGATGTGGGCCGAGTAGAGGGCGCCCCATGAATTGGTGAGGTCGTCATGAACTTCTGGAAAGAAAGGTGCAGGTCTCTGATGGGGGGCTTGTTGGCGGAGACCTGGCAGATACCATTTACCCAGGCGGCTGTGGGCGGGCTCTTCTGGGGCCGATTACTCCAAGCCGAACTCTTTAACAGCCTTCGTGAGGATACGGATGAGCTGGTTATCCACACTGGGCCGTACACCACCAGATTTTTTGGGCAGAAGGGAGACGGGAGGTGCGGGATCGCCTTCTTTGAAGAAAGCGATCCGCGAGCGTAGCAAGGTGAGACTCGCAATGAGAGCAGACCATCTCCACGAGTGCTGCCTCAGCGTGAGCACGGCCCAGGCATTCATGGCGTGGCATTTTGGAACAAACACCTACGAAATTTGCTTGATTAGATGCGGAAATTTACTCTGGATTGCTCTGGACAGGGGAGAAGCTGCACAAAGGTTAACAAATCAGGCTTCAGTATTCAGAAGAAGAGTTTCCACCCCAAGCGTAATTCAATGAAATGTGAGAGCAATGTTTCAAAAGGAAAATGTATTTCTATTTTTTTTCTATTGTGAAATGTGACCTCAATATTTCATCAAGGAATGATTTACTGAGGAAGGCCGAGTGCCGAAACGTTTGATCCATGTGCTTTTTGTATAATAAAAAAAATCTACAAATCATCATAAAATACACAAGGGAGTTCGGATCCTGCATTTGAAGTCATTATGATTTTCATTGACCTGCACACCCAAGTATTAATTTGAGTGCAGTGATTTCACATCTTTTTGATATAAAAAAAACAATAGCAGTGAAAAATAACAATGAAAAAAGTCTTAATGTACCTAAAAATAGGTTTGATTTTCTTGACAAAATCTATATTACTATTCCTTTCTATTGTAAAATATGACCTCAACATTTCATCCTGGATTCAACCCCGAAAGGTCCCCTGAAATGCTTAGAAACACGCAGCGTTACTCTATGTGTTGACGTCATTTTAACTGAAACAGGAAGACAGGGCGGGACATATCAAGCAGCCCTGCCCCTTTTTAAAATAGCCAATAGCGTTCGTTTATATCACAGCTTGGGCTAGAGCCGTTAAGCTCTGTAAAGCCGCATTTGTAAATATAGCATTCTGTGTAGAATTCAAATAGCTCCGATACATTTTGTGGTCTGCACTGACTCGCGCATGTGATCTGCTCCATGCTATCGTGTCTCTGGACCGGAGCAGAGTGTGTGTGTGGTGCGGTGGTTAGCGCGACACAGCGTGAAACCAGACTTCTTTTTTTCCTCAATGGAAAGACTGATGTAAAAATGTAAATTCCTCATATTTACACTGTTTAAATCGTTCCCTGTCCCCTATATAGTGCACTACGTGCCATTCACTGTACAGAAAAAACGAATTCTGTGGACAAACACCAAACCCAGAGGCCAAGATCTCAGCATGGACGTTATACTCGTTAATGTAGGTCTTCAGACCAGGAACACGTGTCATGCGCACCTGTGCGAGGAGAACAAATGCAGAAAAGAGGACCAGAATGTCTTCAGACTGGACCAGCAAAACCTTGTAAGGCCTCTGATGCAAACATGTTGAACACCTACCATAGGATCAACCCAGACAGTATTTCCCACACTCATCACAACCCTGGCCTGATGCAGCTTCCCTTTGATCTTCAGACTGATGGCTCTGGTCACCTGAAAACAGACATTTTTCTTTTCTAAAACAGCCATTTATGTACAAACTGAAGAAATGTTTTCTTTCAGAAGGACTACTGAGACCTTCGGGTTCCAGTCCACCTCCCCGTCGACGGGCTGCGCTCTGCACAGGATGATCTCCACAGCCTGGCCGGGCAAATCCTGGAACTGAGGAGGAAGTTGGAGAAGCTGGTGTGACTTCACTTCCTGTGTGCGGCCCTCGTCTATGAAGCAGGCAGTGATGCTGCTGAACAGCTGCTCTCCTTTTTCCGGCACCTCCATCACACGCACCCTAGAACCAATCAAACAATTATTTCCCATCAACTTAAGTTTTATTTGGGCTTATAAATATGAACATAGTTTGTTACTCAGACTCAGGCAGTGCGCTGCATAAGACAAAAATGCAGCCAAAACCACAGCATATAGTCTCTCTTTAGTGTAGATGTACGTTGAGTTAATCAGACGATGTCTCGATTATAAATCAGGGTTTAAGGAGTATAGTGAGAGTGACTCCTGGTTAACATGTAGTATTAATGGGTTGTGTTTAGTCACTATTAATACTTGTTTTATGTATGACGACAGAAAATATGTAAATGGGAACAGCTTTATTGGGCATTCAGTTGTATTACAGTATGTGACAGTTCAGAGAGTAGAACAGACCTGAAGTGCTAAAACTTGGCTGAACGTAAACACGACGCAACGACATCATAAATATGCTAATTAATGCGTGACGTCACCTGCCGTCACAAGTCTCACAAAGTCCTGTGGGAAACACTGGAAATCATTCTAATATGCTGATTTGCTTTTCAAGAAACATTTATTATTATCAATCTTGAAAATAGTTGTGCTGCTTAATATTTTTGTGCAAAACATGATAATTTTTTCAGCATTTGATTAATAAAAATGCTCAAAAGAACAGCATTTATTAGAAATAGAAATCCATTGTACATCATAAAAGTCTTTCCCATAATTTTTTATCAATTTAGGAAAGAAAAAAAAAACCCTTTCCAAACATTTGAAAGGTACTGCATGCTAATTATAAACTAAAGGTTTCCCTATTATGTGTACGTAAAGTGTCCCACTAGAGGGTGTCTACGTCATTACCGGTTATAGATGTTCTCCTCTTGAATGGCATAAAGTTCTCCCTTCAGCACTTCGACAGCACAGCGTCTCTCACTAGCGTAGTGCGCGTTCATTTCAGTAGCGAGCGTCTCGTAACAATCGTCTTTCCTGCTCACGATACGGCCCGAGTACACATT